TTTTTGGTATTAATGACAGAGGTATTTGAAGTGCTGATAACCTGTCCGATCTTATCAATGGATATCTTAAAAATATTCGATCAGTGATGATACACTGGTGAATTAATATGGTAGTTAATTAGTCATGACTAACGACATAATAACACGTTTCTCTAAACAGGTCTGAGGATGCATCAGCACTCTGTGTTCTACGGCTGGCTCTAGAATGTGACCTTTACGGGGCCAAACCCCCTCCATCAGCAGCCCTAGGAGATTCAAGGTCATCAAAGTGTTGCTGATGCTTGGGTCTTTTCTTTCAGAGTGTTTCCGATGCCTTTGTTACCATCTATAGAAGAGAGGGCCTGAGTGGTCTGTGGAGGGGAGTGAACGGGGCCGTTCCCCGAGTCATGGTGGGATCAGCTGCTCAGCTGGCCACCTTCACCTCAGCCAAGGACTGGGTGTCTCATACTCAAGTATGTAAAATTAAAAGCTTTTTTTTATGCATGTAACATATCAGTCAGTACAGATAATCAGCAGTTTCTTTCTGACATTGCAGTGGTTCAGTGCCAATGGGTGGCTCACAGCACTGATAGCTGCCTCCATCAGCGGTGTTGCTGTGGCTATCACCATGACTCCATTTGATGTGATTAGCACACGGCTCTACAACCAGCCGGTGGACGAGTTTCACAAAGTGAGTTTAAAAGCTCTCTCCTTCACTTCACTCTCAGATGTTTGTTATTTTAGGGTGGGCTCATTGAGAGATCAAAGTGTGTGAGAACTTATCTTGTTTTGATCTCTGCAGGGGCGCCTCTACCATGGGTTTACAGACTGTTTGCTGAAAGTATGCCAAGCTGAGGGACCCCTGGGATTATATAAAGGAATGGGCCCTGTGTTCCTGCGGCTGGCTCCGCACACAGTGCTCAGCATGCTGTTCTGGGATCTGATGAGGCAGCAAGCTGTCAAAGACAAATAGACCCAGAAAACTGAACGGAAAACTAACCTAAACAAATTTCATACTGAACTTGAAAGCTTTGACAATCTGCCCTTTTTATCATTCTTGCAAGTAATAAATGAAGGCTTATATCAGCAATGGAGCAACAGCAGCATCTTGGCTGCAAAGTTCCTCTACATTTCTCTTGGATAAAATATTACAGAAGCTCATAATGTGATCAATATTAGAAAACACTAAAAATCAGAGTTGAAAATAACTTCTGACTAATCCAAAAACTTCATATTAATGAAATACAGTCTAGAAGATCAAACTCTGTTTAACAATTTATCAAGATGGGGATATGATAACCAAATGGTCTCATATAAGATTATCTTAAACCTGTGATGAATGTAAGGCTGTTGATCAGCTTTCATGAAGCAGAGCTGCTTGCTAGCTAAAAGACACTGTCTTCCATCTTCAGTCTGTAACCACTGCTGTATGTGTCAGATTTCTGATATATATGCCAGTTGTCTTGTTGTTTGCCTAAAAGGAAAACAACTGATGTTTTTTTCTTTTTAATGACTTGTTAGGGAGTAGAAGCTGCAAAGCAGTGAATCTACGTCATTTAAAGTTTTGTATAGAAGACTTGAAACACCGGATTTAAGCACCTTTGTGGTAGTAAATAATTACAATAAACATATTGTGTCTTTGTTAATACTAACACAAAATCATTGTTTTGTTTTTTTTAATACACTTTGCAACAGAATCTGCTTTCGTGATGTCAACCTGAACCTTTATCTTTTCAAATGTCAAATTTACTTCTGTTTGACTCCATTTGTATTGTCCAACTCCCTCAGCCTGCTGCGTCTTGGTGGGGTTTTTTTTTCTGGGTGCAGAAGTGAGGAGAAATGGAAAAGGTTTCTTTTGTGAAAATAAATTATTTTTAGCAACAATGCTGAAACTGCTAATCATGTCATAGTGACTACACACTAAAACATATGTCATTCTCTTCCAATCTGCAGTCACATCACATAAACAGTAAGTTTGTGACCTAGTATGATCTCTCTCTGTTTGGTGTTTTTAATTTTTAAATGGGGTGTGAGGTTGTAGAAGGACCAAAGTGCAAACAGGAAGTGGGGAGAAGCATGATGTGTGAAAGATTAACTCAAAATGATAACAGACAAACTTACAGCAGACAGAAGAATAAGTGGACAAAGAGAACCGATGGAGAAGCATAGGCAATGAGGTGACAGGGAAACAGACCATCACAGATTAGAACAGAATAATCCAGCAAAGAGCAATGGGAACCAGTGAGAAAAAATGTATATGCTGAGGGATAAATGGACAATGACGTGGACACGTGGACAAAATAGTTGGTACCCCTTAGTTAATGAAGGATAAGCCCTCAATGGTCACAGAAAAAACTTGAATCTGACAAAAGTAACAATAAATAAAAACTCTTAAAGGAAGCCATGCTTCAACATAATGATAATTAAAAAATAATCTCTTTAAAGAGGCCTGGACAAAATGACTGATTTAGGTAAGGGTTCATAGAGGGAAACTTCAGAATAGTCCAATGTTTTCCTCTTATCCATTTGCTGGCTATTTTTCTCTGTGTATTTTGGATCATTATCCTGTGATTGAGACCTGCAACTGAGACCAAACTTTCTGACACTGAGCAGCACATTTGTCTCTAGAATCCCTTTGAAACCTGCAGAGAATCCAAACACCCTGTACCAGATGAAGGAAATAAGTCCCAGAACATAACAGAGCCTCCTCCGTGTTTCAGAGCAGGGACGATGTTCTTTTATTTATATGCTTCATTTTTCCATCTGTAAACATAGAGCTGAAACATAGAGCCTTGGAAAAAAGGCACATCAGCTCACTGGCTCAGCTCACAGGCTCACTGACTGATTCAATATTTTAGACGCATGTTATGCTAATTAGTGAACACACCTTGATTTATCATGTCCTTTGGACACATTATTTTCAGTTTTTTCCAGGGGTAATATCATTTTTGTTCATGCCTGTATCATCAGTTTATTCTTCTTTGAGTCATGCAATTGAAGCTTGGGTTAAAAACAATGTCTGACTTTCATTTGTTAATTTTCATAGAATTGTTATCTATTTTCACTTTTGTCAGATTCAAGTTATTTCTTTGACCATTGTTGGATTTTGTTACATTATATGGGGGTACAAGTAATTTTGTCCATGTGTGTAAAATGCAGGTGAATATATTAGAAGATGATGTCAAGTAGCAGTTCAGGGAGACTGAGGAAGAGTCCATCATCTTTGCTTTCTCTTTGCAAGTAGAAAGCATTTTACTCAATGCAGTCATTCCCACCAGCTTTTTGAGGCTGTTGCATAAGGAAGAGCCCTCCTCTGTTGTCTGTCAGAAATACAGACCAAGTCTGTTTTGAAAGAGCAAAAATTCCTAAAAACCAGATGATCCAGACAGGAAGCAAGACAGAGGAAGAGTGAAGAGTCATTGTTAAAATGGCTTAATTTACAAGAGCGTAGTTGACTAGAGTTGTACCAAATCGTCTAACCAAATGCATTAACAGTGCTCTTAAAAAGTAAATATGAATACACAAAAAGAATCAAGGAATAAACAAGGAAAAAACTGCTAAACATAAAAAAACAACGGGAAAAAACTTAAACATCCAACTTAAGGAAAACTTCAGTGTATTTGAAGTGGATTTTATATGACAGACCAACAATTAAAATCAAACATAAATTTAAAATTCAAATGAAAAGCTCCAAAGAAAGATCATATTTATATTCAACATTATTGACCATAATGACCTAAACGATTAAGTGGCTTCAGAAATGGACAAATTTGTAAATTTGTCCATTTGTCGGCCTTAGTAAGTTTATTTAAATTTAAATGCAGCTGAAGCTGTTTGTTAAACATGAGTGAATAAACAGCACCATGAACACCAAAGACTTGTACAAATGGATTTGTGAAAAGCTTTGCAGCGGATTTTTGTTTTTCTTTTCACTTCCTTTATTTAGCCAGATAAAATCTCCATAGAGATTTAGGTTACATTTGCAAGAGGAGGCCAGGGCATTAGTCTGCAGTACACATAAAGACTTACACTGGTCAAACACACTTTATAGTGAAACAGAGCTTTGGAGTAGAGTTGTGTCTGTTGCAGAGTTATGTCTATTGTAAGTATGTGCATGCTGATTAGACTTAAAGGTGATATCAACCGAAAACAGATCAATCTGAGAATAAAAAATGGGGAGAGGCTGCAGAATACTGATGGCTTGGGTGGATGTTCACTTTCAAGCAGGAAGATCTTTATTCATTTGCAACAGCCCAGTGAAAGTCCAGAACTACTGAGATGTTTGAACATGATTGCAAGATTATCATTCAGATGCTGTGCTTTCATTCTGAGAGTAAGCGTTTTTTCAAAGAAAAACTTTATTGCTAGTTTGGTATTTCTTTGCTCAAAGCCTATGGAGAAATTTTTTGAAAGACTTGTAGATGCAGAAAATGCTGATGCATAGTGTTAAATATATTATATAATTTATTCCAAATCTAAAGGAAATACATTTCCTCTGGTTGCCAAGAAATGCTTCCAAGCCGTCCATCTTAAATGCTCTGGGTAACATCAAATAATCTTCTATGGGTTGTTTTAATGGGATAGACTTAGGTCTGGTAAGTCAGTTTTTAGCCTGTTTGATGTAATGAAAACAGCCAAGGTAAATAATCGACCCCTGAAAACTACCTTGGAGTTACAATATTTATGCTATAAACAAATTATAATACAGAGGCAAAAACGTACTTTGCCTTGAATAGATTTCATTAACTATACAAAAACTCTACAGGTCAATATGAAGATGAACTCATCGATTCTTATCTAAAACTTAGACCCCCATCAACTGTTTAAGAGATCCAGTTAAATATCTTAAAACAAGTTTATTTACTTAACAATCTTATCTATCAGAGGACTTTTAACCCTTTTAATGGAAAATTGTTTAGAATGACAACTGGAGCCAAATAGTTTAACCTTTGGACAGTCAGTAGCTTGGTTCATCAGCAGGAAAAAGTAAATCTATGTTGTGTTTTCTGGCTGAGAGCTTGAAGAGCTAGCTTCATGGTGGTGTCTTCCGAGATTTTCAAAGGGCAGAAGCATGACTGGAACATCCTATTTTGAGTGCAATTTTTAGGCAATCGAGGGAAAAAAAATGAATATATTTTTTCCATTCTTTTGGATCCTGGAAGTGTTTGAATGGTCACCTTTTGATTCGAATCCAATTGACTGTTTTCTTAAGGGTCAGTTTACAACAATGTTCTTTCTAATCTGAATCCCATTTTTGTTCTGATGTATTTTTCTGCTTTTCATATACTGTTACGTTTGTATTTTAAAGGACTTATAGGAGCGTGTGGAGTGTCAGTCTTTTATAATTTGATGAGAGTTTATAATTTCATTCAGGCATGCAGGTGAGTCATAGTACAAAAAAGGAAAAATAAGGCTTGCATTTTAGGATGAGTGTGATTTAGCTTTTTTGTTCATACAGTGATTCGGAAACTCAAAGTGGAAGCAAGCAGAGATCATCCTCCTCCACAAACCCTTTGAGAAGGAAATGGAAAGCGGCTCTCCAGTTCTGGTTTCTGACTGGAGTTCTGTCTTTGGTGGGCTCAAGGGTCTCCTCCCTCATTGTGCTGGAGTTTTCCCTCCGAGTTGTTTCTGCATTGACCTTAGCCGGAGCGGTGAGTTCCTTAAGTTCGCAACAAGAACATTCTGCTTTCAGTTTACCTCACATCTGTGTGCCTGCAGATGCAGACTCAGTACTGTTTCTGTCTAAAATCAGGATGATGACTCCAGAGGTCTGGAACTGCTCCTAATCCAGAGTCAGTTCTCCCTGGGCTGCGGCCTCACCTGCACTCTGGCCTTCATCCATCAGGGGGCTCCACACAGCTCCTTCGGCTTGCTGCTGGCAGCTGCCCTCAGCTGGGTACTGGCAAGTTACAGCAGCAGTCTGTGGAGCCATGTGGCCAGACTGTTCCCACAGCACAGAACCGATTGTTACTGTGGGAAGTGCATCAGCCTTCTAACCTCTGGACACACCATGATGGCTTCACTGCAAAGAGCGGTTATCTTGGCCTTTGCTACAGCAGCTGTGGCTTCCACCACCACTGTCTATGAGCACTTCTTATCCCAGAAGGATGCCATGAAATTCTGGACTCCCCTGACACTCTGCTACACTATGCTGGTGGCCTATAACCAAGGTGAATAGATGATTGTAATACCAAGGTCTGCTCTAGAGCTGCATGTGGCTCTTTGGGCCCTTTACAGAGGCTCTCAGTAAGTTTGGCTCAAAGTGGGGTGGAACTGAGAAGTAAAATTAAATATAAAAAAAAAAAATCAAAGGGTACATGAAACTAAAAACTGATCAGAACTAGTCCAGAGAAAAACAGTAACTATGCAATTAATAAAAAATTTGATTTAAAGAAATCTAATTGAAAAACTTGAGACTATAAAGTTTTATAAAAAAGCATAAAAGTTAAGCGGGGAGAAGGACCCATGTGTTTTAACAAATTAACATTTTATCATGTATTTTAGACGAAGTTCATTGAAAAAAAATAAAAATAAAACTACCTCTTAATATTATAATCAACATAAAAAAAAAAATCCGGCTGCTGGAGGCAGAAACCGGGCCGCTGTTTTATGTCATCATAAAGTTCCTCAGACTGAGCATAACAGAAGGTTGTACCTAGTTACTGTTACTTTGATATGCAATAGGACTTGTGCTCCAGGGATATCCCAGGCTTTGTCAACCTAGGAATTGAGACATATTTCTCATCTTAAAAACCTTCAAAGCTGATCATTTTTATAGTTTTATACACTGTAAATATAGCAAAAAAGATTGTGTAGTGTAGTGAAAGGGAGCGTGTTTGAAAGGTTTCGCTTGTGGCCTTGATAATGTTGTTAAATCTGTTTAAGACCTTTAGAGAAAACCTGAAAATGACCACTAGCAAGTTAATACTTCCAGATGTCACTTAAAGGTGAAATAAATTATTAAACTATCATGTTGAATCTGATTTTGAGCTTCAAATGCAGAGACTGAGATAAAGATATTTTTAGGGAAAATTACACTGGTGCTGAATCATAGAAAACATTTAAAACAGATGAATAATTCTAAAAACACAATCTGTTTTGTATTATAATTCACAGAGGAACAGAAGCGAATGACCGTTACAGAGACCCTCCTGCGCACCGTAGTGTTGCGACTGGGAGGCTTGCTGGTGCTTATGCTGGCAGTGGGATACTGGTCAGATGTTCTCCATGTCCTCATCGCCTTTCTGGGAGAAGGAGTCTGTCTGCTGCCTGCTCAGGATCTGCTGCAGGCTGCAGTAAAGGTTCTTTCTTTATTGGATTGTAATAGCTACATAGTTGGTTATTTTACTTGAAAATTCTAAAAATCACTGATGAGAGCTTGCATTGTTTATTTTCAGGAAGAACAAGAGAGCAGCAAACTACAAACAGAGGTCCGACCACATCTTAAGGAGGAGAAAAAGAGTCGATGACATGGCATCCAAACAAAGCATCATGGGTTAAAAGAATGATCTGGGTGTTTTTAGAAATGTTTCTCAATTTGCCAAACCTAGTTTTGAATCTGTTAGTGCACTGTGTTTTAAGCTTAAAACCAATTGTTCATGCAAAATTATGAAATAAAGCCAGCTGCGAATGTGTTATTTGTTGCATCAAGCAAATAACTTTTTTTTAACACAAGACATCTATGGATATATCTGCAAAAAACAGGCATTTTCAAGATTATAGTCACAGCAGCCAAACTTAATGTCTGTTGACCACTAATTGCTACCACATGTTATCAATTTTGTGGTTCTCCACCAGTTTTCTCTCACTTACATGAAATAATTATAATCTAATTTCTTGTACTTTATTTCATTTTAAAGGCTGCACTAATTTACAGGGCCTTACGGGGAGATTTGTACGAGACCTGATGAGAAATCTTCCCATTAAAAAAAACATAAGAGCAATAAAAACAGTGGATAAGGGATCGCTCTCTTTCAAAGAGCAGTGAATATTACAACGACATTAAACTATGCTTCTGTGTATTCACTCACTCAATTAGTAAAGTCAATAGTTATTGATTAAACCAACACCAAATTGACAGGTGAGAGTTGCCCCCCTTCAGAGCACCTAAAAAGAGTCTGAAGGTTGGGTTGTGTAGCTCTGTATCACCAATAGTGTGATGTCAGAGCTGCAAGGCATGCTGGGAGCTCATAATTACACCATGATTATCCCAGCCCAACATTAGTATACATTTACACAGATGTGTAGCTTCAATTGCCAAAATGAAGCTTGAATAAGGGATAAGAAATTATCATTGAAAGATTATTAGAAAAAATCAACATGAGCAACTGAAGGAGTTAAAGTGTAAATATGTTTTTTATCAAACTGATGTGCATCTGTGCCTACTCTGTAGAAGTAAGTGTAACGAAAACAATCATAAAGACTTCTAATAAGGAGCAAAAAACCAATACAACTCTGAAGAAAATAAGGATATATGTCCTGAGTAATGAATTTACTTTCAGCAATCCTAGTGCAAAGTTATGTGCAAAAGAGACAATAAGCAGATTCTTAAGAAGTTTGCAACATTTTTTTGGAAAGGTCATGCTCCAAGCTTTGTGGCATTATTTTGGATTCAGCTCCTCAAGTCCTGACATCAATTCAGTGAAAAAGGACTGCAGTAAATGACTACTGAGACTGTTAGTCAGCCCTTGATGTCCAGCATACCTGTCTGACCACAGAGATGTCTTTTGGTGGAATGGTTAAAATTATCATAGAACTTTAAAACTTGTGCAAATCCTTCAAAGGAGAGTTGAAGCTGTTATAGCAGACGATAGTAGCCTGTCATCATATTAAACCCTATGGATTCTAAATGAGGTGCCACTCAAATTCATGTGTGAAAAGTCACACGAAAGTCTAACAAGTCTAAGAAAGCTTTAAATGCCACAGTCCTCAGTGTTTGTATAATTTTACATTTTGGAATACAGCCTAGCATTTTTGATTATAGGGACTGAGAATCAGACCAAAATCCACCTGAGAATCTGGGGCAAGACTTTAAAACTGATGTTCCCAGATGCTATCTATTCAATTTGAAGTTTAAATTCTTTTGGGAAATTCGTTGAAATAAGTGTTTAAAAAAACTAATCACAGACTTCGCTGAGTAAGATCAGCAGTTGAGGAAACCTTTCCCCCAATAGAAACCAAAGAAAAGTTATTTGCTTATTCTACTTTCCTATTTACATTTTCCTCAATCAGATGTGATGGACAGTGAGATTTAACTGCATCATTCAAATTCTTGGACTCCAGGAAATACGATCTTATGATCTCAACTGGTTCAATTCAGTTCAGTTTATTTATATAGCACCAATTTACAACACATATAATCTCAAGGCACATTACAGGGTCAATACAGACAGACTGGTTTAAGGTTTGCATAAAGGAAAACGACTTGATTGCATCAAGTCGTTGACTTGCAAGACATGCTCATCCTGGATGAGCTTGCCTCACTATGAGCACGTATGTAATGACAGTGGAGAGGAAAAACTCCCTTATAACGGGAAGTTCTGCTTATAACCTCCAGCAGAACCGGTCTCAGTGTGAGCGGCCATCTGCCGAGGCCAAATCTGGTTCAAGGTTAATGTTAACTAGCTCCACAGGTGAATCCATCTAGGAAAGACGCAGCCAGGCAGATGAGCTCCGAGCCAATTCTCTTGTCAGGGAATGAAAGAGAGCACCTACAGTTAGCCATAGTAAAAGAAACAGGACTTCACTGAAAAAAACGGGCCAAGCTCCAACATCTATTAACAAAGGCTTTGATGGCAGCAGCCAGCTCATGTTTCAATCCAGGATGGTGTCACAGCGAAACGGGGACAGACCAGATGAAGTTACTATGATGAGAAAAAGCAGAGGGAGCATAAAGTTATCGGTGGAACCAACAAATACTGCAGAATTGGAGAATAGAGATAGAATGAAGCAGAAAAAATGTCCTTATGTCCTCAAGTAGTCTAAGTCTATAGCAGCATAACTATAGAGATAGCCATCTGACCTGGTGTTTTCTGTAAATGTTTGATTTTTTTTATCATTTTAGTATTTTATGGATGTTGGGTTAAAGGTAAAATGATATACTGTGCCTCAAGTAAAAAATCAAAGTCATGCAACTAAAGGAAAAGAAGGAGGTTCACACAGTTTAATGAAGAATTTTGCTGTTAGGGGGAGGAGCGTGAAGGTTCTGGGATTGTATCATCCGTGGGCATGCTCCCTCCTGCAGCCGTGACATCACTGCAGCATTCCTTTCCACAGAGCTAGAACAACAGAGACCCCCATCACTCTCTTCATTGCCATCTGCTATTAACCCTCACCGCACTGCCCCAGTTTTGCACATACATCGAGAAAACTTGGTTTCTAGCATCCATTTTTAGATTTAAAGGGAAGGAAATGACATCACAGTCTCCTGAAAGTAGTCATAATATTTGCTTATCAGCAACCCTGATATGTTCGCTTCGGCCCAACGAAGAACCACAGCTTTTTGATCACTCCACACATCTTTCTCTCAACTGATTTGTCACAGAGCTCTGGTTGAAAGCATAGAAACAGATGCTGATCACCAGAAACTTCAACGAAAAACTTTGAAATTCCACATCTGTTATCAAACTATGTGTCCCAATTTAGAGCTCTGCAGGGGGCCCAAATGCAGCTAATGCCACAAGATACTGATAGTGTGTAAAGACTAAAAGTGATACAATGTGGGGGAAGGGAAGAAGGAAAGAGGGAGAAGAAGAAAAAAGAAAAAAAATCAGGCAGACCCAGTGAGGGAGGTAGTGAAAATAAGGTTAACAGGACAATAAGGGAGAGCTATACAGGAGATGAAAAATGGGACACTTGGAGGTAGAGAGTAGCTCAGAAACACAGGTACAGTCAAATCCGGATGGTATGCTGATAGATAACATAGTGGGAGTTGGCTGTGTGTCTCTGCTTGTCCACGTCAGGGTAAAAAAAAAAACTTTTATGACACTGTAGAAACAGTCCTGTTGATTAAACTGTACATTGCACAACTTTTGTGTGAGTGTACGTGCCTCTGAGTCGGTGTATGAGCGTTCCAGTGCTTGCCAAGTTTTCATAGTGGATGGATGTGTCATGATTTTTTTCCTTCTCTTTCTCTCTCTTTTTTTTACTGCACTTTGCCAGAGATTAGCTGTTCACTTTTTATGGTCAGGAGGGAGGCAGGATTGTCATTCAGCCAGAGAAAGGAGGAGGGGTCGGCAGACGGCAAAGCAGGAGAGGGAGGGAGATAGAGGAGGAAAAAGGAGTGGCTTTCTGTAGATAGGCGCCCCTTGCCACCAGAGTAAAGTCTTCTCTCAGAGGCAGCTCATGGGAGTGAAAATAAAACAGAAAAATTGACACACAGAGCAGAAAAGAAGAAAAGAAGAAGATAAAGGCCTGCATTTGTTCCAGGTAAGCAGGAACCAGATGTTTCAGATTCTTTCATTTGAACCATTCATTGTAGGTCATAAAAGCTGAAGGTGTGTGATTATTCTTCTCAGGAGGAAAGTTAGAAGTATTTTAATGTTGACTGAGGGCGTTCACTGCAGTCAAGACAGAAACACATTGATCTCTGTTAGTAATAACAATTGTTCTGTCATTCAGTCAGGCTTTATCAGGGTTTCATTCCACCATGGCATCAGCAGCTCCCCAAAAAAGGATGGTCTCCTCCGTCTTCATCACGCTGTCGTCCCCTCACAGAGCCACAGTGACACAGCAGAAGAAACCTGCCCTCCAAACGCAGAGTAGCTCGGCTCCAAACAGACAGCACACCTTTGCCAGAGCCAACCCCGAAGATGACAACCTTGCTGTTCTCAGGCATAAAACAGGGGATCAGTCACCACCTCACACCCACGACAGACACTGGACTCATGAAGGGCCGCGGTCCAAAGCCTCAGACTCACAGAGTCAACCCCAACCTGCCCAAACAAGACGACCGAAAGCAGAGGTGCAGGAGACAAACGGGAGATCTGCAGGTATTCATTACAGAGTTTTCTTCAAAATGCTTTCATTATGGGCCTTCATTGTATCCCATGGTTAAAATGTTGAGATTTCTAATACACGCCTCTTCCGGTAATCTCCACAGAAAAATGTTAAAAGGCATTAACTGCAATATATGGGATTCTCTTGCTCGGTCCAAACTAATTATTGGCTGCAGCGGGAGCTGTAAACAATAAGATGAAGTATTCTTCAGATTTCTGAAGCCAGGAAGTCAGACATGATTAGGCTGAAACATACTTTGTTTGGTTAGAAACCACTAAGTTGGAATTTTCTTTTTTCCATTCAAACCCCAGCATATCTTGCCAATACTGTATTAAGACCTAATTAAGTACTAATTGTGACATAGTAAGAGGAAAGGAGATCATTTTCAAGAGACTTTACATAAATAAAATTTAGAAATGTGTGGGACACAATTACATTTATCCCGCCTGAATAAAAAAAACAACTTGGCAGCATATTTGTAAAACTTCTAATGTATGTCTTCACAAGCTTTTAATGTTTTGTACCTATTCTTCGTTGCAAAACAGCTCAAGTTCAGTTTTCTCATTGGGAGTCAGATCCTCTGTTGGATTTAGGTCAGAACTTTGACTAGTCCACACTAATACATGTCTGTGCATTAGTGTGGACTAGTCAGTTCCATTGTATCTCTGGGTTTATGGCTGTACGTTAATGAATAAATCGATCAATCAATCAACCTATACCTTTTTATATGACCCTTTAAGAAATATGATGTGATTAAAGAGCTGTACATAAAATCAAAATATATGAGAAAACAAATATGGATAAATACGTTTTAAGCCTGTTGAATAGTCTTAAGTATTCAACAGTGCAAATGTTAGGATACAGAACCCAACCCACTGGAAGGGCCGGATCACCCCAGTGTTTGTACCTAACTAGAGCTGGTTTGTTGATGAATACTCAAAGAGTTTCTACAGGTGAGGAGGGGCTGCTAAAGGCTGTTTTCCTGCTGGGTGGTAAATCCCAATCTCTGGTATTGAAAGATTTCCTCCAGAGTTTCCCTGTTTTTAACTCCATTCTCATTCACATCTGACCAGCTTCTCTGTCCTTGTTAAAGAAAATTCTCCCCACAGCATGACGCTGCACCGTGTATATATTTCACGCTGAGGTGGGCGTGTTCAACACGTAGTGTTAGCGTTTCCTTCTATACATAGTAATTTACATGATAGACAAAACATTCAGTTTTGGTTTCATCTGACAAGAGCAGCTTCTTCCACTTGTTTTTTTGCCAGCTTTCCTACATTGTTTATGGTAAACAGATTCCTTTTAACAATCCAACAATCTTTCTGCTTCTCTATAAAAAGATACATTTTCAGGGGTTTTTTTTTCTCTATTTTTTGGATCTATGCAGCTAATTAGGAACAATTACTCTGACTGACTGACCTGTCAGTTTAGGTGAGCAGCCCTTTTCTGTTATCTGCATTGTCGTTCTTGTCCTCAACTTTCTCAGGATGTGTATGAACCTTTTTCATTCCTTTTGGTATACCATAGTCTTTCTTTTCAAATGATGGACTGAAATGTCCTTGAAATACCCAATGCTTAAAGAAATGTCCACAGCTTATCTCTGACCTTTCTGATGGACTCCTTTATCTTTATGATGTTGTGTCATCCATAATGTTCCTTAACAAACATTTGAGGCATTCAAAAATCAGCTGTATTTATAACAAGGTTAAATTACACAAAGGGGGGCTCTTTTTCCTAATTAGTAAACTCCTTTAGGGAGTTTTCTCTTATTTCATTTATCTTTTTTTTTTATGTCTACAACATCAAGTATTCTTTAAGCTTATTTTCTGTTTAAACCATGAAAAATGTGAAAAAGTTCAAGGTAAGAAAATACTTTCAGATTTGAAATTAGTTTCAGCTATGAGACCGATATAGAATCAGCAAGGTTTAGTTTGATGACAGAAGTGGAGCAACATGCAAATATATTAGAAACCTCAATGGATTCTACCCTGATTCACTTTTTTTTGTTGTTCTCCATTTCTTATTTTTGTAAATTCTGAGGAGGAGAATTAAATAAATCTGCACCGTTGTGCACAAAAATGCTAATTAGGGTAGCATGTTTGCTAATTATTTAATGTGTATTTATTTATTTATGTAATTTGAAATTTCAAGAGGTGAAATTCAAGCTTTAAAATTCAGGATGAATTATAATAATTGTCTTGTTTTATTTCTACCAAAAAAATAAATAAAAGATAATTGCATTCTCCAGACAAAGACAAAAATATAAACAACAAAAACACATATTTAAAAATCCACAACAGTTCAAAACTCCCAATATATATTTTTTGCTTCTTCTATGCAGAAAATCTAAGAGTTATTTTTTCCCCCAACAGAGCTCTTCCCTCCCCCTCCTCCTCCTGATGTGCTACCTTCATCATTTTCTGAGGACTCAGCACTCCCTCCACCTCCTCCATGCCTAACATCTTCACTTGATCCACCGAGTCCCCACCAGCAGTCACTTTCCAACAAAGAGGTATCCCATCCCATCCCATGTACTGTACAAATCATCTCAAATTTCACATATAATTTACTCTTGTTCAAGGAAGGGGTTAAATCCTCAAAAAGACTTAATTAAGTCAGACACTGGGTTATAGAATAAGCAAACTGAGAAGAAAAGTAAATGTTTTTCACATACAACCTATATCCCAGTCTATTTCTGTTCAGTGGGAAATCCTTTGTTCTACTATTGTCTAAACTCAATAAAATTAAACAAATTATGAGAAAGAGGGGAGGATTTTCAACAGAAGAGTCATTGTTTTCACTGGTCGTGTGTTTTACTTTGAAACTCTTCCTGCAATTTTACTCTTTGTCAGGGTTTTCCTGCAGGTCTACAATCTGTTTATCCACAGTTTTAAAGAATCAAAATCAAGTCATTTATTGTTGAAAGAAAGGACAAATACCGGTAATTTCTTAAAATTTGATTTTGACATAAGCATATTTTTTCATACATAATAGAAGAGATTAAGAATAGTCTTAATTTGACTTTTTCATTATTTTGTTCAGAGCAGAATGGTTTAACATTTCCACACTGAACTAGATCTAGTCAATAGATATGGATGATGCTACGGTAAAACCTAAACGCTAAATGCAGAAATAAGAACCAGATAGCTTAAAGGTCACATTATGCTTTCTGATAAATACATTTCTATCAATCTTAATTTCTTACAATCATGTCTGTCTGAAACATTAAATTCTCCATAATTTATTGAATTTTTAGGTGCATGCTGCCTCCTCACCGTCCATAGGCTCAAATGGTGATGACGAGGCTATTGCTATTCACAAAAACAGTCATGACATGACCACAGAGAGCAAAGGTAGAAAGATTTTCTTTTTAATCTTTCAGTTCAACACGCATTATCAGCTGACTATAATGTTACTATTTGTTTTTACTACAGATTTGTGTGGCTTCTGTCGGAAACCTATGGCTCTTTCTGAACCTGCAATAGAAGCCCTGAACAGGATTTATCATGAGGGCTGCTTCCAGTGTAGATCCTGCCACATTCCCCTGGCTGGGAAACATTACTACAACAAGGCAGGCATCCCACTTTGTGAAGACTGCTATCAGGTAGCTAATCTTACATTTTCCGTACCTGCATGTACAGAAATTAATTAGCCCATCATCTACAAATAATTATTTATGGGGAGGGATCATTGTTTTTTTTACTTGCAAATGGGGACGTGTGAAGGACCACTTTCAATTAGCAACACACAGACATACATAATGCATGTACACTCACCTTACTTCAACCTAGAGTTGTTTAAACATGCATGCATACTCTGCACAGAGAGGCTTTAGGTGCATAAAATTCAGTTTTACAGGACTTCTTTGAAAGCAGAGCTGATGTTGTTCCACAGTTTAGTTTCACTTTAAATTAATTAAAAGTTGACTTAACTACATGGAATACTAATCTGTTATTGATTTCCATATTCCATATACCATATAGATATAATAGATATCTACATTGTCCTACAGTGCTGTGCTTGAATGTTTCAAATTTTTGCCACATTTCAGGCTTCAAACATAAAGATATTTAAAAAGAAATGTGAATAATGAACAACAAATGGGACACAAATATGAAATGGAATGAAATTTACTGGATACTTTAAACTTTTTAAACAAATAAAATAAATGAAGAGTGGGGCGTGCCAGATGAATCTGCCCCTTTACTTTCAGTGCAGCAATATCTCTATAGAAGTTCAGTGAGGATCTCTGAATGATCCAATGTTGACCTTAATGACACACCAGGTAGGTCTGAGATGCTGTTGTGGAGAAGTTTAAAGCCAGGTTTGAATACAAAAGGATTTCCAAAGCTTTAAGCCTCCCAAGGAGCACTGTGCAAGCGATAATATTGAAATGGAAGGAGTATCAGGCCGCTGTAAATCTAGGAAGACCCGGCTGTCCCTCTAAACTTTCAGGTCAAACCATGAGAAGACTGATCAGAGATACAATCAAGATATCCAAGATCACTCGGGGTGAACTGCAAAGATATACAGCTGAGGTGGAAGACTCCTACTTAGGACAAACAGTCATATACTGCACAAATCTGGTCTTTATGGAAGAAAAATTTTCTATCCATATAACATCTTGTTTAAAGTTTTGACCAAGGCACGTAAGAGACACAGCAAACATGTGGAAAAAGGTGCTCTGGTCAGATGAAACCAAAGTCTAACTTTTTGGCAACAAAGCAAAATGTTATGTTTGGCAAAAAGCAACACAGTTCCTCACCCTGAACACTTCATCCCTACTGTCAAACATGGTGGTGGAAGGATCATGGTCTGGGCTGCTCTTAATCAGCAGGGATGGGAAGGTGCTTAAAATTGATGGGAAGATTAAAGAGGCCAAAGGAGCAATCTGGAAGGAAACCTTTTTGGTGTCTTTAAATGACCTGAGACTGGGACGGAGATTTATCTTTCAACAAGACAATGATACAAAACATAAAGTAAAATCTACAATGGATGGTTCACAAAAAAACACATCCAGTTGTTAGAATGGCCAAGTCAAAGTCCAGAACTGAAATTAATCGAGAATCTGTGGAAAGTACAGAAAACTGCTTTTTGCTCTCCATCCAACTTGACTGAGCGACAGCTGTTTTGGAAAAAAAGGATGGGCAACATTTCTCTTGATGAGCAAAACTGATAGAGACATACCCGAAGCGACTTGAAGCTGTAATTGCAGCAAAAGGTGGTGCGATTAAGTATTACCTCAAGGGGGCTGAATAGTTTTGCAAACCAAATTTTTCAGTTTTTTATTTGTTAAAGTTGAAAATATCCAATACATTTCATCCCAATTCATGATTGTGCCCCACTTGTTGTTGATTCTTCACAAAGAATTACAATTTAATATCTTTATTTTTGAATTCTGAAATGTGATAAAAAGTTGAAAAGTTCAAGGGGGCCTAATACTTTCACAAGGCACTGTAAAGAGGGTAATTCTGACAGATATGCTTTACGTTACTAAGAATGTTTGGGGGGAGTCGACTATATATTACTGTGTTTAAATCTTATGTATTTAAGAAAAAACAAAAATTTGCACTCAATCTATGAGCATTACGAAATATATCAAAATTTAAAAGACCTTATTTTTGCCAGCATATCAATACCCATGAAGTTTAGATAAAAACTTGCTTTATAAGAGACATCTAGTGAGGGATGATGCATCTCTTAAGTCCTGTATTGAGTATTTGCTGGATTTGTTTCCATTTCCTGAAGAAACAGCTCTGTCTGTCACCTCTAGATGTTTTTATGGTCCAACAATTCATTCACACCCTGCAGATTAGAATTAGAAAAATGTAAGGTTAATACAAATTTAAACTCTTTTCCTTTTAATTTGAATACTTTGTATGTCATTCATTTCAATGTTGCTATTTGGTTCAACAGTCTTTTAAGGTATAACAACTGAATAAGTTTATTTTTATACCGGTAAAGTGTGAGTACGTTTTTGGGCCTTTGAAATAAGTCAGTATTGCATCTTTCTCTGTGTTTTAGGCCAGTTTGGAGCTCTGTTGGTCGTGCGGGGAAGTTATTACAGATCAGATAATCCGTGCAATAGAGAGAACGTACCATCCATCCTGCTTTACCTGCACAACATGTAAGCAGCAAATAGGAGCACAGGCCTTTGCTCAGGGGGAGGTCGGTGAAGTGTACTGCCTGCAGGACTACTACAGGTATAAACAATGATGGCAAGTAGAAACAGCAACGAAAATGCAGTATACACTCTGCTCTGTTTAGTTGCTGTTGCTTTGTTTTTTTTATTCCAGTCTATTGCAAAGTATTAACTCTCTTTAAATACTTCTCATTTTTTACACACACACATACACACAATTGTCCTTAAAACCAAAGAGGAAATTGAGAGATCAGACAAGGTTGCCTAACTTGCCGTTTTATAAAAGTATTTCTTTTCTTCTCGGCTTTTAACCAAGTTTGAGACTTTTTTAATCCATCTTTTTATCTATTTAGTTTTGATAGTTTTCTTGTATTTTTCCTAGCTAGAGCTGTAAAGGGTTATTTTTTGCATTTTCTTTCAGTTTTCATCAGCATACAAAACTTTGGTGAATACTGTTTTAAATGTGCTTCATAAAAAATGTGAATTGTATTGTATGGTATATAGATTAAGACAAAGTAGTGGATAATATAAAAACAGCAGTTTAAAAACCAAGTAACGCCCCAGAAAGTTCAAAACTATATATCTAGATTTAAACATTTAACAGTAACCTGCTTGACCAGTTATAAATTGAGTGAGTAAAGTGTAACAGCAAACCTGCAAAGACCAGGCAAATTTACTTAAACCGGAAGTCCGAATAAGTAGAATGCAAGCTGGGTTTGCTGTGTTATGAACTCAAAATTGACATCCAAAAACTTTCTCCATCCAATCAGACTGAGCTGGAGCTATAGATATCAGTTTTAGTTTTTACATGTTAAAAGTTGGAAGAGGAAAACCCAAAGGGACCGCCAAGGTGTTTTTTCAAAGTATTGACTCAGGGGTGTGAGAACTTGAAAGCTTGTATACGGTCAGACTAACTTTCCTTGTTTCCAATTAAGGGGCTGTGAACACACATGAATGCAATCCATTCAGAGTTTGTTTTAAATAACATCCCAATCATTCTCTATTTTGTGTGGGCATTTTAAACAGCCATTTAAATTTATGTAAACACTTGAAAATATTTAAAATCCTTTTCTAAACACATCACATATATTTTCTTCTTGAAAATCATTTATATACAGGAAATATGCTCCAAAGTGTAGTGCCTGTGACCAACTCATCATTCCTAAGGAAGATGGTACTGATAGCTACACTGTTGAGTGTCTGGGGCACTCCTACCATGAGAACTGCTACAGATGTGAGGTGGGTGTTCTGCAAACAGTTTCCTATAAGGATTTACTGGCAAATGTTTAAACACACACAAGCACATTATCCTGCGGTCGACATGACTTTCATCTTGTCTGCAGGTCTGCGGCATCCAGCTCTCCCCTGAACCAAACGAGCATGGCTGCCATCCATTGGAGGGGAAATTGTTGTGCAAAGCCTGCCATGTGAACCTGGTGTCCGTGCAGCAGTAATATAAGCCAAACTATCGGAAAGCAATAAACACTCCATATTCAAACAAATGAGAGACATGTGCCTTTTCAGGAGTTTATGCATCATAATGATTTATATCAAAGGAGCATTTAATTACTTTTCAATATATCTGGCTTTCTGGAAAAGAGAATTCTACTTTTCTTTTATACTTAATAATTTTACACTCTGTACTAGAGATAGAAATGCATCGAACATATTTATGCAACTGGCTTTGCAAAAACTATTTGTAACAAACTAGTAGAATATGGTTCATCATGCTTTCACTCAGCTTTGTACGAAAATAACAAAATATTGTACTCATTTATAGAAAAACTGAAGTAAAAAATTACATAAGGCCTCATAAATCAAATTAAATAACACATGCAATCAAGATGTTGCACACAGTATGTACTTATATTAAGTCATAATTCAATAACTGGTGGAGACAAATCAGAGTAGAAATTAGAGGCAAGCTGCTAAACATTAAATCCAGCATTTTTTCTGTGATAGTATCCCCCCCGATGTGTCAAATTGTTAAAAAAAAAATGTCTCTGCTTCTTCTTCAGTTTCATCTTTAAAGCACATATCACACAATAGCTTCTCGAATGACTGGTCTGTTAAAATATATAAAGAAAAAGGAAACAATAAAATCTTTTTCTAAGAAAAAATTGTTTTTTCTGTTTATATTTGTTACTCTAATGATGACTAAGTTTTTGGAATTTTACGGAATTTCACAAATGTATCTTTGCATGTTCATTTCTGTTCTTCTTATTTGTCTTTTTAATCCATATTTTATCCAAGTACAGGATAATCATTTATTAAATTTTGCATCCTGAAAGGTATAGTCGAGGATTTTTGAGAATTTTTAATAAGACCGGCCCTCTCCACTGGTCCCTGTACCCGCTCCCGAGAGGCAATGCCTATTAAATGTGTGCAAGAGAATGCACAAGCCCATTTGTCCTCGTGCACGCTCTTTTAGAAAGTTGCTGTTTGCATCGATCGTACAAGCTTACTTTCCAGAAAATGTACCCTTTTCCCACTATCTCAGACTCACCATGGGTAAGTGAAAATAGGGACGAGCATAAACATTACATAAACATATCAACAGAATGAGTGACAATTAGGAGGACCGCTTATTTTGATGATCCACCTGGAAAAAGAACATCCTCCACTGTACCTTTAAGTGAATATAGTGATACAGCTCCAACGTCCCTACCTTGAAATGCTGTTTAAAATATATTACATGTATAAAAAAACCTAGGGAAAACAAAAGAAAGAACACTGAAAATGTATTGGATTTCCTCTACAACTGAATAGTAGAAAAATGGGCAACACTTTATAATAGATATAGAAAGTTCAAATTCTGGAAGGATGTATGTGTTCAGTATTTTCAGACATTTGTCTTACAACTTTATTCATACTTTTATTGTAAAATGTTCTTAGAGCAAATGTTGCAGGGAACAAAGTGAGCACCGTCTTGTGGATTTACCATCACTCCTGAGCTGTGGTCTCTTGTGTTGTCATTTGAAGTCTCAGGTTTCCTGTCTGACTCTGACCAGTCCATCTGTCTCCTTTAATTTGAACAATGTGTCCCTCAAAATAGACGCTGTTCTTCTTGGAAGGTACAAAGAGTGTATCAAGCACAAGAAATATAATTTCATGCATGTGCTATATCAAATTAAAGAAGGACAATGAAACAAGCAACAGACATGCATGAGACTTTCTTCTTTTATCTGATTGTACTTTATTTAGTTGCCTTCTAAAAAGCCTTGTAGGATATTTGCAATACTGTACATTTTTCCCTAATATTTTCTACTTATGCAACAACTTAACAGAAAAAAACTGTTAATATTAACAAAACAGGAGATGTAAAGAGGTAAAAAATATATAGAACCAATTTTATATTTTAGGTTTTAGCTTATTGTGCTAAGGGCTAGGGATTAATAGTGTTTTCTTTATAATCTATCATTTAAATCAGCCAAAAAAGTTGCTGTGAGAAAAAAAAAGTTCTTATAAAAATTCTTAATATTTAGAATAAATGACTGATTTAAAATTCCTTTTACCCCTTTTTAAGGCCTACTGCATATCCAGGACGGTGTCACAGGGACAGGAGTCTCAGCAGGGATTCCAAGACTCCCCTCTCCTCAGACCCCTCCTCCAGCTCTGCTTTGGAAACCCGGAGCTTTCCCAGGCTGGCTGAGAGTTCGCAGCTGCTTGATAAGGAAGCTCATTTCAGCTGCTTGTATTCAGGATCCCATTCTTTTCACCATGACCTAAATTTCATAACTACTGGTGATCACAGTGGTGTAGACTCCCCATTAAATTGAGAATTTCATCTTAAATTAAGCTACTTCTTTACCACAATCGACTGCACAGGGTCTGCATTACTGCGGCAGTAGCACCAATCCATCTGTCATTCTCCCACTCCATTCTTCCCTCACTCATAATAAACATGAGTCTGAGATGTTTTAACTCCCACCTTAAGCAAGGACTACACTCCAAGCCTCTCCAGAAGAGGACCATGGCCTTAGACTAGGAGGAGATTATCTTCATCCCCACTGCTTTGCACTTTCCTGCAAACCTATACTAGAGTTATTTGCCAGAGGGAGCCAACAGAGGCACATCATCAGTAAAAAGCAGAGAAAATCCTCTGTTCCCAATACCAGATAGATCCCTTTCAGCCATCGCTAGGCCGAGAAATCATGTAAATGAAAGTTATGAACAAGACCAATGACAGGCGCTCTACTGAAGTCCAACATGCACTTGAAACAGGGCTAATATTTCTACAGCAGTGAGAACAAGACACGTGCTTCGCCTCTAGATAATGGATAGGCCCTAGTAAAGGGCCGGGAGGTCCTTATGCCAACTGAATAGCATACAGCTTCCTGCTTCTAGCTCCTTCCTAACAGGCAGCTTTGTTCCGATAGCATTTGTTATGATAGACATCGATGAACCACCGCCTTGGCTCAAGGTTTCTTACTGGTTTCAGGTATTCAGATCGAGGCCTTAACTGTATGCTAGTGAAGTGGTTTAGCCATTTGAATCAAGTGGGATTTAGACCACATGTGCTAAAACCTATTCAACTCATGTGTAGTAATTTGGCTGGGACTGTAAAATTGCAAGCGAAGTGATTTTGAAGTGGAGATGAAAAACTATAACTTTACTATAACTATTTCCAGAACTCCTCAAGGGGCAGTTTTATCTTTATCCCTCGGTTTTGAGTAAAAAATAAAATAAAATCCTAATTGGCACCTTCAGCTGTCATACTATTAATCAGAAATATAGGCTATTCAACAGATTGATAAATAATAATTAGTTAAAGCACTTTCTCAAATAAAGTTTTGGGTGTTAAAATATCTATTCAAAGTTCAAACCAAAATTTACTTTAATAAAATTACAATTTATTTGTTCTACAATCACAGACGCACATGTCTCAAAATAAAAACAAGTTTCCACTCTGCGGTGTCATGGAATTACCATTGATGATAAGCCATGAAATTAAAATACATGATTCAAAGACATGATTTTATGAATTAAAATTGTTTCTCTTAATCTAAAAAAAATCTAATTTGGATAGGTTTAATAATAGTGTGTTGTCCTTAGTAGTGCAGATAAAGCAGTTCAAAACTACATTTTAGATTGAACCTGCACATGAAAATATTACTTCCGGGCTGTTGATTTGTTTTCGTCATGAAACCGCGTTCTCGATGTTCGCGCGTGAACACCACCCGGCGCACGCGGCTCGCACACCGAAACTACCCTGAGCTAGGCTGAGAAGCACGCACGCGCGCTGACCGAGGACGCATCAGCAGCAGAAGCCAGCAAACAGCTAAAGCTACACGGGGAGCAGGCTCTCGGGCCCACGTCGATCACGGAATCCACCGTCGGTCATTTTGTTCAGACGGACCTCCGACCGGCAGGGGATTAGAAACGTGCTAGATCATATGTGTTTGAAGGAGGAACGAAGATCGCAAGATGGTTCGGGAAACCAGACACCTTTGGGTGGGAAATTTACCCGAACATGTTCGTGAGGAGAAAATCGTGGAACATTTTAAAAGGTATGTTATGCAAGAGAGAGCGTGTTTGCGAGGCTACGCGCGCTGGCTGCAGTACTAACCTTTTCTCGATGCGAGGGCTGCGCTGCTAGCCCTGCTAACATAGCTAACATTAGCATTGTTAACTTTTGCTCCTCGTTAGGTTTCCTCTCTAGTAAGTGTGATCTATTGCTACATATTGGCCTTTTATCTACGTTAACATAAATAAACGACCGCGCCTACACATACATTTTAATATTGTAGAGTGTTTTGGTAACTTTTGCTAACGCGAGAAGGTAGTTAGCTGCTAGCCACTGAGCTAGCACCCAGCCAACCATTTTGTGGGAAGTCGAAAGGTTTTCGTGATCTGTTCAAGCCAGCGTCCACCGCGATGATGTGTTAGTCTTATGTTGTTGTTTTTTAATCTCCCAAATTAGCCTTTTTTTAAATGTTGCTACTCCTAACTGTAATAGGTTAACTTTTTTAAAAGAGCTACTCTTAAAGCATTTTATGAGCTTTTTTGGGGGGGGGCTCGGGACCAATGTTAGCAAGTTGTTGAGCTGCAGAGCGTTCAAGTCAGTTACTGAAAATATTTGAAATTAGCTGTGGTAGGTTTAACTTAACTTATGATAAAACATTTTTTTTTCAATAGCTGTCGTTCTTAATGTTTAGATAAGCATGTGCCTACTGCTTTACTGAGCTATTATCGATTGTTGTTTCTATCTCAAGGAAGAGTGCATTCTAACCTAATCTAAAGCAAACGAACCCATCAATCTGAGATATTGTTAAACAGAACGATTTCGTTTTTGTTTTTATTAACATAGTGCACCCAACAAAAACAATCCTGACTGATTTGTGTTTATTTTAACCAAAAACCTCAATCAAATAAACATCTTTCCTCAGCTGGTTTCTCTTAGTTGGCGCTATTATATTACATTCTCTGCATAAATGTAACATGCAAAAAAAAAAAAACAATATTGGATGCTTTGATTGTAACTCCCTTTTTGTGTTTATTTCTGTAATTTCCTGTCAGGTATGGCCGAGTGGAGAGCGTCAAGGTTCTGCGAAAGCGAGGGTCAGAGGGCGGTGTTGCAGCCTTTGTGGATTTTGTGGATATCAAAAGTGCACAGAAGGCTCACAATGCTGTCAATAAGATGGGAGACAGGGACCTTCGGACTGACTACAATGAGCCAGGGTCAGTCCCTAGTGCTGTGCGGGGCCTCGAAGACAGCTCCCCCTCCAGCAGTCGAGAGGTTGCAGGATTCTCTAGGGGAACAGTTGGCCCAGTGTTTGGCCCACCTGTGTCCCTACACACCCGAGAGGGACGTTATGAACGGAGAATAGATGGGTAAGTGGACACAGTGTCCCTATAAAAATCCAGAGTGGTCTAGGTGTCATTTAAGTTTCTAACTTGTACACATAGTGGCGTTAATCATCAGGGTGTGGTACCTGAAGGGGTCACAAAAAGGTAATCTAGGGATCACTCCACTCTTCATCACACCTGAGTCGCCTACCCCATGGGATTTAAAAGAAATTAATTCACTTTATCATTTGCAAAGGTAACTATGTTACAAGGTTTTTACATCTGGTTTGGATTTTACATCCAT